CTCACCCCTTTGAGCCACACATTCCTCAACAACAATATAAAGATATCAACACCCACCGTAGGGTAACATTATGAATTCAAATGTGCAATGTTTGTAAAAAGCTATTTGCCTTACGACTGGCATACTTAGATGTTCTTTTAGTGAAAAATTTATCTAAAGCTTAAGGGAAAAAGACTGCTTTTGCTGTTTTTCCTGCCGAGCGAAATCCTATCCAACTCTCAAGACCCGACTCAAATACCGTATTTTTCTGAAAGTATCAGTATTTAAATTGGAAAAAGATTCATTTACCAAAGAGGTTATCTAAACTATTAAACTGCCCTGAAGTTATGTGACTGGACTAAATTAAGTACTGCCTTTAATGACTGAAATAATAGTTTGAAACATAGCTATATGAATGATCTATTTTTGTAAAATAATCTCTTATTTTCTATCAATGATATTTTCTTCACATTGACTTTAAATTATATGTTTTACAGAATATATCTAAGGAAATGAATGATCTATAAGATGTCAGCAAATGAACAGGTGATATTTACCATAATTACATTCAATGATTTAATGTAGCTGAAAAATATTTTGGAACAATTATTGCTGACCTACCCTCTCTGAAAGACTACATAGAGACTCTCTGAGCTCCAATAAGAGGAAGAGGGCTTTGGGAAGGAAAACAAACTAGTTCATGAGATCTCTTGGTAGGTATCCCATGCCCTAATCCTACCATTCTCCTACCAAGGAGTAGCTTCAGTAAGACTGGAATCTACACTGCCTGGCTGGCATAGCTCAGTGGATTGAGCGCGGGCTGCAAACCAAAGTGTCACAGGTTCAATTCCCAGTCAGGGCACATGCCTGGGTTGCAGGCCATGGCCCCCAGCAACCGCACATTGATGTTTCTCTCTCTCTCTCTCTCTCTCTCTCTCTCTCTCTCTCTCTCTCTCTCTCTCTCTCTCTCTCTCTCTCTCTCTCTCTCCCTCCCTTCCCTCTCTAAAAATAAATAAATAAAATATTTAAAAAAAAGACTGGAATCTACAAAACTATTAGGACTCAAGAACAGAGAATACTCATGCTTGCTTTTTATCTGAAAACTTGGGGTAGGGACAGCCTTGCAAGAGTTCCTATGACATCACAGTATAAGAACTGAAAACGAGGGCTAAGTGTGGTTACAGAAGCAGAGATAGAGTGAAACAAAATATCCCATAGCCCTGGAGTGGTAGGAAGAGCACCTGAACTGTCTGGTACTCCAAAGAAGGGTGTGTAATGCCAGCACAGAACACCATATGCCTTCCTATGTATGCTGTTGGAGCTTAAGTCAAGGCAAAAGAAAAAGGAAAAGGAAGATTAGAAAATCTTGAATTGTTGGAGTTTAACTGAGGAAAAGCCCTCATGTGACTTAATAATGTATCAGGACTTGACTAGACTACATTTTTTTGTGTCTCTTGACAGAAAGGGGGCTGGAAGTAGTGCTAGTTTGGTTGTGGAAAAGTAAATTTATACTTTTTGCAATCTGAGTATACATTGATCATATCTGTTATATGTACAAACAGAGAAGCAAATAATAATAAGGATCCTAAAGTAATAAGACAACCAATTTCAAGGTAGAGGTTAACAGAACCAGATCAAAGAGAAGAGATTTAGACAGGACCAAAAGAGAAACTATGGGTATATACCAATTTATGAGTGATGAGTACTTGGAAGTTGATACACTTTTTAATGTTTTTAATACATTAGCTTAGGTTAATGGATAATTAAAACTCACATTTTTTATTCACAAATATGGGTTCAATAAATCCCAACATGTTCTTTTGCTGTCTTTGCAAATTTTAGAATTCAACGTGACCCCTGCACACTTTCCTCCCTAGACTGTTTAGTGTCAAGAACCATGACAAGTCTGAGAATTTTACCCTATTTTGCAAGATAATTTACCTTGGCACCATTTCATAGGTGCTAACAGAAGACGTGAAACTCCTGAGTTAAAGACAAAGGAACCCACTACTCATGGCACAGCAAGCAGCATGAACATCATGTTTATGTTGTTTCTGCATGCCACCCAAGTCCCACAGGGGTCACGTAGAGGGACTCAGCTGGATGTCGCACATGTAATGGGTTTGTGTCAAAATGAGGAACCCTGAGCTTTGTTAGGGAACCTGATCTTTTATAATGGGAAGTGAGCAAACCTGCCTGACTTTTGTTTTGAGGGGAGACGTTTCCTTTATTATACTGGACAGTAAACCAAGCTGCTCTTTGCTCTGGAGGAAGACACTATCTCTACTTTGCAAGGTTTTCTCTATGAAAACATCCTTAAAGAGATAGTTGAAAACAAAAAGGCTATTAGTACCTCTGCTTGCAAAATGTGCAGAGGTGTTAGAGACCCATTATGAATTATTTCCTAACATATAGAATCTTCCTTACCATTAATGCCAAGATTCTAATTCCCAGAAATGATAAAACTAGGTAAGACCCTTTCCAGGATGGTGTCTTAATGTAGTCTAATTCTGTTTGAATGTCCCATGTAATAAAAAAGTAGTTACTTGTGGCTGAGGATAAGGGGTATTCTGGGAAGTGATATGAAATGAAGCTAGATGGTTAGGCAAAGGCCAACAAATCAGACACTCTGATTTTTTTTCCTGAGAGCTATAGGAGCCTTAGATGGGATTTTATGGGCACCAGAAAAGGGATTAGATAGAACCAGGTGAGTTACTCGACTACCAGAAGGGCATAAATAAGATTATCATTTTAGAGGGACTACTCTGACAACTGTGTGGGGAATGCATTGAAAGCAACAAAGAGCAGGTAAGCAAGACTGGAGAGTGTTACATTAACCAAGGTATGAGATGATGGGGCTTGAATTAAGGTCATGGGAGTTAAGGAAGATAGAAGTGGGTGGATTCGACAGATTTGAAAGAGGAATAATAACCAAACTTGAGGCCTTATTGAAAATAAGCCATGAGAACAAGAGTCAATAGGTTTGTCTTTTGGGTGCTCTAGTTAATCTTTGTGGGGGTATTTTTGTTACTCAGCATTCATTTCCCCTTCCTTTGGTAGTATCACTCTCATTTTATGTTTTTTGAATGGCCTCTCTACATCATTGTGTGTACACTTGGTAAGATTATCAATCAAGGGAAATGCTCTGCCCTGTCAACCATCTGAAGTGCAAGTTCATGACCAAGGCTTGGTCAATTATACTGTCTTCTGAAACTATAAAACTTGAATAAAGTGAAGCAGTTGCCTATGGGAAAAATATTTGGAGTTGATTCAGTCAACTGATAGCTCTTGCTATCTGGTCTCCAGAGCTACCCTAGTTCTTATGCTTTTGCAGACCTACCATTGATTCTGTATCTCCCAGGTAGCTTTCCATTTCCTTTTTACTTAAATTAGCCAAGGGCATTTTCTCTTGCTTGCAACCAAAGAAATCTCCTTCATACAGGTATTTTTTAACCCTTTAAAACTTGAATTTATTGGGGTGACACTGGTTAACAAAATTATACATGTTTCAGGTGCACAATTCTACAACACATCATCTGTACACCGTATTGTGTTCACCACCCCAAGTTACGTCTCTGCCCAACACCATTTGCATTAACTCAATGGAATACTACTCAGCCTTAAAGAAGGAAATCTTACCCTTTGTGCTGACATGGATGGACCTGGGGAGCATTATGCTAAGTGAAAAAAAGCCAGCCAGACAAAGATAAGCACCGCATTATTTTACTCATAAGGGGAATCTAATGAACAAAATGAACTAACAAGCAAAATAGAGACAGATTCATAGAGAGCAGGCTGACAGCTGTCGGGAGGCAGGGGGCTAGGTGTGGGAGTGGAGGAATGGAGCAAAAAAGAAAAAAAGAAAAAACTCATGGACAGAATGACTATCATCAAAATCAACAAACAACAAGTGTTAGAGAGGATGTGGAGAAAAGGGAACCCTAGTGCACCGTTAGTGGGAATGGAGACTGGTGCAGCCATTGTGGAAAGCAGTATAGAGTTACCTCAAAAAATTAAAAATGAAACTGCCTTTTTTACATTATAATCTTTGTATAAATAACTGATATGCTTTCTATTTCTGGACTGCACTCAGGTGTAGTCACTGATATTCAGGAGGGGAAGATGGGTACATGTATGTCAGGGGAGAACGTAAGTGATGAATTTTGGATATGTTGAATGTGAGAAGGCTATAAAATATCTAGATGAAGGTGGCCAGCAAGCAGTTGGATATATTAATCTGAAGTTAGATAGTTCTAAGCTAGAAGTAAACATTTAGGGGTCACAAACATACAAATGGTCATGAAACCATGGAAGTAAATGCATTATCCAGGGAGAACATATAGAGTGTGCACAATAAATACTTTTTGATTGGTTGAGTGGGCACCAGGGCACACACAGTATGCTATGGGATACCTCTCAAGCCCAAAGTTCTCAATTCAATCACTTAGGCTCATTTAAGTATACTTGAAGTTCTTATTGACTGATGAGAGACTGACTTTTTCTACTATGCAATCAGTAAGTCTTCATTGCTATGACTTGGGATTCTTCTAGTGCTGGGTTTTAATTCATGAAAGAAAGATGCAAGGAAATCCATTTTTAAGTTAGTTCAATTGTGGTAAATATATATAACATAAATATGCAATTTAACCATTGTTAAGTATACAATGCACACAATTCAGAGGCATTAATTACTTGCACAATGCTGTGCAACCATTACCACTATTTTAAAAGCTTTTTCATCACCCCGCAAACAGAAAATATGTATTCATTAAGCAATAACTCCTCATTTTCAGGCCCCTCCACTCAGTTCTTACCATTCCCTTGCACTCTTCACAACCTTTGACATAATTATCTGTGACAAATTGATTTAAAGTGCGGCTGCAGGAAAAGAAACAGGAGTGTCTCGCTTGGTCTTCTGGGATTTGTAGTCCTGCAAGCCGTCGGGCTGCCTGGCTGGCCTGAGAGCAGCGACTACAGCTCCCAGGCCTTCTTCGAGTCCCTACCGCACAGACTCAGAGCCCCATGCCGGGAGGAGGTGATTACATTGTGTCTATTGTATCCCTGGATTTGTGTGTTTGTACATTTCTCGGGACGTGAAATTGAAAGTGAAAAGCATGGCAGATGAGCAAGAAATAATGTGCAAATTGGAAAGCATTAAAGAGATCAGGTAAGTGGAATGTTGCAGCGCCCCAGGCCCCCTTGAAGCCGCCCCCCATCCCTTGCTGAAGGAGAGGGCTGAGTTACCTTGTAAAGTACCTATTGTTGGGCTACTTGCTGAGGGGGGTGGGAAAGGAGCCCGTACACCACGGATTTCAAGGATGGGAAAGAGGCTGGAGAGAGCTGAGACAGCCTAGAGAGAGACAGAGAAACAGAGCAACTGATGAAGAGAGACCTCGCCAGATGTGGCTGAGGAAGCCAGATGGAGACACAAGGCGGAGGGAAGGGGGTGTTGATCCCAAGACACTTTTATCTTCTTGGGGTGGGAGTTGGGGGGTCGGCATTCTTGGACCCATTATTTTTTTTTCAGTGTTTGCTCCAAGGTGTACTTGGCTCCTTGTTCTTTCGGTGTCGAGATTTTTTTCAGTCTCCCATTGAACTTCAGGACCTGGAGCATGGGTGAGCATTTTGAGAGCAGAGTGTAGCGCGTTGGGGCTGCTGGAGGCTTCCAGGAACTACAGGCTGGGAGTGCTGAGGAATCCCAGCTGGCCAAGATTGGGAGGATGGCGAATGCTCGCGCGTGTGTATTTGCTTTCACTCATTCACCACTTTCTTCCCCTCCTATCCCGTGCTCCAGAAAGGGGATGGGAGCGAAGGAGACTGGGGAGGAGGTCCCGCATCAGTTGGCAAGATCTCACCAGCTGCTCTGAGGCGCCAGAGGTTAAGGGGCAGGCAGAAAAAGTGGGAGTTGCCTGTGCCCCCCACCCCTCCTTCCCTCTGGGAGTGGCTTTGGCTAGGCGATGATGTTGTCTTTGCTCAGAACACAATAGCACCCGGCCAAGTAGACTGCCTGGGCTGGTACCAGGCCTTCCTTCACCTGCCCTTCTCTGCCAGAGCACTGCCTCCAGCTTCCACCTTCATTCTGAGGGTGGCATGGGGGCATCCAGCTGTCTCCCTTTAGTGTTTTCCAGCAATCTAGAGAAAAAGAGGGGAGGATATGAAGTGTGTCAATTTAAGAAATAAGACTGTGACCAAGAGATCTAAATTAACCCTTGGAGAGAATACCTAGAATGAGACCCCACTTTATGGTAATGGGGATGCACTTTGACATTTTTTTGTCCTTTAGAGGAGTTGTATCTTTACTTATGCAAGTGAGTAAAAGGAAGGGAACTATTGTTTATTGAACCCCTGGTGTGTCAAGCCCTTTGACCTGCTGTTGCTCATTTCAGTAAGAGATCTGAGAGCTCCCAACACCTCCCTTACAACTGGGGAGACAGAAGCTCAGAAAATTTAAGTAACTTCCAAAGCCAAACAGCTTGAAAATGCCAAATTTTGACAGAAACCCAGTCAATCTGCATACAGAAGCTCTGGTCTTCCCACTCTGTCCTATAGAGTCTGAGAAACGATGGAGAGTGGGGGCATGCTTCAGTTTTTTCTGTGACAGCATCAGGAGATAAGGAGCAAGGTAACTGTGCAAGAAAAGGCCAGCTGTCATGATAACAATGTAGCTAATAAGATTAGGTGTGCAGCCTGGCACGGTGGCCTGAACCTGTAGTCCCAGCAGGAGTCTGAAGCAGGAGGATTGCTTGAGTCTATAGTATGCTATGCCGATCTGGTATCTGCACTAAGTTCAGCATCAATATGGTGACCTCCCAGGAGCAGGGGGCCACCAGGTTGCCAAAGGAGGGGTGAACCGGTCCAGGTCGGAACAGAAGATTACGTATGCAAGTGGAAAGCCTAAACTTTTACTCTCACTATACTTTCAAGAAGCCCTTGCCCAAGCCCAAGAGAAGGAATAGTTGGAAGCAAGGGAAAGGGATCTGTCCCAGTGAAGACCAAATGCAATTTCAAACCAGGCATTCCTACCACTAATACCTGGGATCGGATCATCAGAGGTCTAGAGAGAGGGCTGAATTCATCTTCAACCTGGATGTCACAGACCCAGTGAAGAACCTAGACTTCTACTGGCCCCCAACTGGGGACCCAGCCTGCAACTCAGGCATGGGCCCTGACTGGGAATCAAACTGGCAATATTTTGGTTCTCAGGCCGGCGCTCAATCCACTGAGTCACACCAACTAGGGCTAAACTCTTTTCTTTAAATTAAATGTATTGGAGTGACAAGATCATACAGGCTTCAAGTATCCATTTCTATGATACATGATCTGTGTATTGCATTATGTGCCTACCACCCAAAGTCAAATCATCTTCCATCACCATATATTTGACCCCATTTACCCTTTACTACCTGCCCTCTGGTAACCACTCTACTGTTGTTTATTTGTTTTTATTTGTTTGCCTTGTTTGTCCATTTGCTGCTTTCTGTTTTATATCCCACATATGAATGAAACATATGGTCCTTAACATTTTCTGACTTATTTCGCTTTCCATGATCTTCTCAAGGTCCATCCATGTTGTTGCAAATGGAAGTATTTCGTCTTTTCTTATGGCTGAGTAGTGTTCCATTGTCTAAAATCTTGCTCAACAGAAAGATGGGGGATTCAGAGGAAATAATCAGACAACTTAAATATAAAACAATAGAAATCACCCAATCTGAATAGTGGGGAAATTTGATTTTAAAAAAGAAGAAGATAAAAAAGAATGCATTGAGCAGAGCCTCCACACCTGTGGGACTATTTACGTTCATGTTAATAGTTATAGTCATGTTAACATTCATGTCAACAGAATCTCAGAGAAGAAAGAGGGCAGGACTGGAAAAGTACCTAAAGAAATAGTGGATAAAAACTTTGCAAACTGAGCAAAGGACAAACCTCCAGATTCAGGAAGCTAAGCAAACACCGTCAGGATAAACTGAAAGAAATTCACACCAAGAAACATCATAGTCAACCTTCTGAAAACAAAAGGCAAAGAAAAGATCTAGAAAGCAGCCAAAGGGAAACAACACCTTACTTATACCTTCACGGCAGCGGGGCGGGGGAAGAGGGGAAGAATATTAGCAGGTTTCTCATCAGAAACTGATGAAGTCCTAGGGGGAAGTGGTACAACATTTTTCAAGTGCTGAAGAGAAAGAATCATCACCCCAGAATCTTATGTCCAGTGATAATACCTTTCAAGAATAGAGATAATCAAGACATTCTTAGATGAAAGGAAACAGGGACTTTATCTGTAGGATGTCCAGCCTAAAAGAATGACTGAAGTAAGTTCTTGTACCAAAAGAAACAATAAAAGAAGGAGCCTTGAATGAAAGAACACAGTAGGCAAAAACACAGGTAAATACAACAGAATTCTTTTCCTCTTAGGTTGTCTGAATTGTCTGATGATTGGAACAAAATTTATCTCAGTTTCATGTTCTCAATGTATGTAGAGGAGATATTTAAGACATATTATAAACAGGAGTATTAAAGGGATATAAAAGGGAGGTAAGGTTTCTATATTTCCTTGAACTGGTAAAATGATGACATCAGAAAACTATGATAAATTATGTGTAATGTTATACTCATAGAAAATGCTAAAAAAGCTGTACAGAGAGATGCACTAAAACACATTATGGATAAACCAAAATGGAATGTGAAAAAATGTTCAAGTCAACCAGAGGAAGGCAGGACAAAGAAGACAGAAAAACTAAAAACAGAGACAACAAACAAATCACAAAAAAAATAAAACAGTAGGCTTAACATATTGATAATTATGTTGAATATAAATGGTCTAAATATCCCAATTAAAAGACAGAATGGACTTAGAAACCATGACCCACCTATATGCTATCTATAGTAAATTTACTTCAAATATAATGAGCAAGTAGGTTGCGAGTAAAAAGGATAGAAAAAGATGTCATGCAAACATCAATCAAAAGAAAGCAGGAGCAGCTATATTAATATCAGATAAAACAGATTCCAGAGCAAAGAAAATACCCAGGGACAAAGTTGGACATTACCTAATGAGAAAGGGTCAGTCCACCAAGACATAACAACTCCAGATGTACCTACACCAAAAGTGATTTAAATTATCCTGCTTTTGACAGTTTTACAGTAATATGGAAAGGCTACATCACTTGGTTTAAGAATTTGAAATGGGGAAAGGACTACATATAGGTACTTGATGTTCACATATGGACAGGTAAACATGCATGGGAGGTAGAAAGAAGGAAGAGGCAAAGGAAGGGGTAGAAGGAACTTGGGAAAGGAACTAATGTTTGTTGGACAGCTACTAATTTCAAAGCTCTTGTCTCATTTAATACTTAACCTTTCTAATGGAAATCTGTGGTGGGAATTATCCCCATTTTACAGATAAAGACACTGAGGCTTCAGGGTTTAAGTAACTCATCTACAGTAATACATAAAGGAAAGAGAGACTATATCTTATTCACATGGCATACACATTTCAGCAAATGCTGATAATCTGATTAACCATTATTCACATTAAGTCCATTGCTCTACTGCTAAACCCCTTAAAGGTATAAACAGAGCCTCCTATTACTGTTAAAAAAATAATGGCAATGTTATTTGTGGGTAGAAGTAGCAGGGATGATGACAGTATCACCTAAATACCTGATAATGTCAAACTGAGAGCCAAACACAACCCCAGGCGCAGGCCCTGAGATACACACATGCATACTCCGTTCTCACATACGCCGATGGCAGAACTGGAAGTGGGGGGTATCTCGGGAATAGATTCTCCCACCACAGACCGTTCCACACGCCTGACTCTGACCCCATGCCCAGCCCTGTCTTTCCTCCCAATCCCAACCACACCCCCAGCACTATGCTCCAGACCTTATCCCCCCAATTCCATGCTGGTCTCTTTTGCCTGTCCATTCCTTAAGCTTTCAAGGGGTGAAGAAGGACTGTGTGGATATGTGGAAAGGGGAAGTAAAGAATGGCTCGAAAAAAGGGAGATGGAAAAGAGGGAAGGAAAGGAGAAGAAGCCATGAAGGAGAGAAAGGAAGTGCAGCCACCACTAGATCAACCAGAGCCCTTCCCTAGCTCCCCAAATGCATACTAATATCTCCTCAACATGCGTATGCCATCCATATGTACACATTGTACACACCC